ATATATAATAATAGTAATACGTTTTGTCTCTTTTTTCCTATTTAATGTAGTACATTCTTTTTCTTGTTGTCCTTTATGGAAGCACATCGAGAGCCACATGTTTGGTAACAATGTCCATCAGTTATTGCTTCACTTGTTCTGGAATTCTGTCACATTTGCAGGTTTGAAAGATGTGACATGTAGAGATTTTTTGTTTGATTAACTATCGTCTATCAGCCTCCCTCCATCACCAGCTCCTCTGCTCTCTATAGCACGCAGACACATGCATGCAAGGCACCACCACTGCCCAAACCCTGCCAGCCTGCCCATCCAGCAGGCCTCCTCCGCGGGCAGCCACAGCCCAGGACTTTCCCAGGGTGTCGGGTTGAGGGTGGGACAACCCCTCCCCTGTCAAGACTGTTATTACAAAGAGTCATCTAACATGATTGTTTCCATTTAGACAGTGAGAAAAATAGGCAACTGGAACATGCAGAAGTCACTGGGGAGTCTAAATGAACCAAGAACATGGATCTGTTTACCTGTATCAATATTATTCACCCAGCAGTGGCTATGTTCACCAAATAGATGATTACACTCAGGTTTCAGAATTGTTCTGTTTGGTTGTTATGGATTTGTGAAGAGAACCACAGAGCTCTGGTTTCTGGTTAAATACTCCTTGAGGTATTTGAGATTTCAATAATGTTTTTTGTTGCATTCCAAAAAAAGATGAAGTCAAATGTAACAGGCTCAAGTTCTGGTTCTCTCAAAGTTGCTGCTACCATCTAGTGGTTGGTTTTAGCATTTACATCAGTTTACAGTTAGGTCTAGTTTTAAGTCCTTGGTGATATATTACACTGAACACCTTCTGTCTCCCTCTCTGTCTGTCTCTTATGTGTTTATGTACATCTAGGATCATGAAGTTTCACGTAGCAAAGAAGAAGTTTAAGGAGACGTTGCGTCCCTATGACGTAAAGGACGTCATTGAGCAGTACTCTGCGGGTCATTTGGACATGCTCTGCCGAATCAAAAGCCTTCAAACCAGGTCAGGACACAGTGAACACACACCCACATATACAGTACATAATCAACACTCAAACGTAATTTATAAAATCTCAAAGAAGTGGTCTGTCTTGCTGCATAAAAAATTATTTTCTACATATGTGGGCATTCTTTACACAATTTTGAGTTTGCTCCTTTTTTTTTTTTTTTTTACAAGAATTTTATATATACCAGAAACGTGTACAGGTAGATATTGCTGCAGTTCCTGCTGGTTCTGGTGAGGTTATAGATCACTTCAACGGGATAAAACATTTACACTTTCACTTTAATCTCACCTTGGCTATGTCTTTCTTACCCAAAAATGTGTGTATGTATGAGTATATGTGTACATGTGTGTCCCCTCTCTCTCCCAGACTAGACACTGTAGTGGGTCCTCCTCCAAGGCCTTTCAGCAGAGGCGGCAAGAACTTTTCCTCTCCCTCCCTGCATTTATATTACAGCCAGGCCTGTAGGAAACAGTCTGCACCAGGGTTAGACCTACCCTGTCATCTGCCTGCCAATTGCTCCCCTACTAACTTTATCAAAATGTCATACTTGCGTCAAACAGCATGCATTCACACATTGAATGAATCAAAAAAAGCCACTTCCTGCTTTGTAAATTATACACATAGCTCTTGATTTATTAAATAAATTTGATGATTTGAAAATGTTTTATTCAACATTTTATCAGAAATCAAGCAGTTTTGTCAGTTTTTTTTCAGACACCTGATAAACTTTGTCTTACATACTTTTTTTCAGACAACAAAAGTGCTTTTAAAAAAAAGTACACTTTCCTGTGCCTTCTCATTTTTGTCTAGATTCTGTGGAGGCAAATAATATGTTTCTTCACACACTCTACATGTATAACCAGACAAATGAGGTTTGCCATAATTGAGTTAGTATGTGGTCAGTCATCACATGAAAGTGTACCACGCACTGCGGCGGTTCTTGGGAGGCTCAAACACTAGATTATAAACTTAGTTTCACAAGAAAAGAGTTATGATGTAGCATGGTGGGTGGGGAGAAAGAACCTGGCTGTGTTGGCCTGAGAACACCCACTGGTTCAGTTTTTACATTGTCAGTTTTCCAGCAAAGGAATTGCTCCTTTAATTACCCTTTTAGGGGTTTTTTTTTTAATTCATCTTGACATACAGTATGCAAGGTACTATATGTGAAGTAATGTATGGAAAATATATGATAATCCTGATTTGAGCCTCTTGAAGACCTCATCTGTTTTTATTCTAGGTGTCTGTAGACATAACAAGAATTTATTAGAACTCATAAAACTTAATAATCTGACTTTTTTAAATCAAATTGAGCTTTTTCCAACTTTTATAAATTGTAAATAAGTAGATGACTGATTTGTTAATTTGTGCTCTTGTGCTTCAAACTTCAGTGTGTGTGTGTGTGCGCGTGTGCGTGTGAAAGAGAGCGATGTATCTGACCCAGTCTTTCTCCTGTCTTCAGACCGGCCAGTGCAGCAGGCTCTGGTCCCTTCCTGAGTAGCCGACGCAGGAACATGTCCTCTCCTGCCCTGCACTATTGTTACAGCAACACCAGGAAGAAGCTCCCTGGCTCAGGGTTACTTTTATTTCACTTAATCTGAGTTCTACTTATAGTACAATCCCATCAGTTGCCCTATGGTGACCCTTAAAACCCCCATAAGTGTCTGACTGACTGTGAAATGTCTCACACAAACAGGGATGCTGTAAATCACCATTTGTATTAACTTTCAAATAGTGCCAGATGATTGGAGTTTGCACTAGAATATGCAATGAGTGCAGTAAGGTTAAGACAATCAAATTTGGAAGTGAAAGTCATATAGTGTACATTGCGTGTTACTACAGTTGATCTAGAATTGAATGTTCTAATGTGCTTAACTCCACCCATTTGGTAAGGTTTATATTAATGCAAGTGTATAGTAATGTGTATAATTCACACAAACCCAAATGCATCCATCACATTAGGTCTGCAGTTTCATACTTCATCTCTTTTTGAAGTGTTATCCAATTTATTAATGTAGTTTGAAGCAAAGAAAACAAAAAGAATTGTGTGGTATCTTTGCATGTTGTCTACAAACATTATTAACTTAACTAATTTGACAATATTTTAGTGTCAAACAACAAAGAACGTGATTTAATCAACACTCTGACATTAAAATGTATGACTACATTCTCAAATTGTTTAAAAAGACAATGAAAGTATGTGTAGTTCCTCAAATTTTTTACCTTGTTGAACTGAAAGTGAAATAAATGAAACAATTAGCCCATGATGATCTAAGGCCTACATCAGCACTGTTAAGTAATTTCCGGACTGATATTTTTCTGGATAATCCTGTATGTGCTGTGAAACTCTTTTGAACACCTGGTGTGGTGAATTTAAAAACGTACTCTCAAGATTGAGATACCAGGTTTCCACTAGACAGCAGCAACAGAATCTTTGCTGAACATACTATATTCATTCATTCATTCATTTTCTACCGCTTTTGGGGCAATGTGGTTTCCTGTGTTCAGTTTTTCACATTTACTATTTTCACAAAGTTCAACAACCCATTGTACCCATGCAAACAACATGCTGCATAAAATTCAGTCTGAAAATACTGTTTTTCTTTAATCCTGAAAGTGCTGACATTTTTGGAGAAGCAGGGTTTTCAAACGGCACTGATACAGCTAAGCCATGTGTGTTTTGGGTTTTACTAACTCTAATCCTAACATCCTACTGTTGATTTAGGTTTGTTGCCTGACTTGGGATAACCTGAAGTGACGCTCGGGTGCCCACTTGTATTACAGCATCTTTAGTTTTTAATATATTAACACCTGTGTGTTTGTGTGTGGGTGTGTGCCTGTTAGGGTGGACCAGATCCTGGGAAAAGGCCACATACCTGTGGATAAGAAGATAAGGGACAAACTACACCCAGATGGAAACTCCCTGGAGGGCATGAGCATGCTGGGACGAGTGTGTAAGGTGGAGAGACAGGTGAGTTTAGGGGGAAAAATGAAAAAGCACTGTCCTTTAAAATGCTGCAGTGACTCAGGAATTACTTTTCCAGGTACTTTGCATAACAGATTTTTAAGGTCTAATCTGTTTGCCTCCAGTCATATTGTTACTCTCTGACTCTGCTTTTTCTCCCAGGTAACATCCATCGAGTCAAAATTAGACTCTTTGCTAGATGTTTACCGCCAAGTCCTACAAAAAGGTCCTTCAGCACTCACCCTCTCGTCCCTGCCTCTGTTTGAGCTGGACAGCCACCAGCACCACAACTCAGACTACCAGACCACTATAATCAGAGATCTCCCCTCTAACCAGAGAGGTGATCCAGTTCGAGGTGGAGGAGATGACAATAGGGGCATACGCCGTTCCCTTAGTGGCAACCCAAGAGGTCTGCGGCTCATCCTGGCACCCGCCGATGATGATGCTCTACCAGACTCAGCCCCTCCATCCTACCCCCCGTCCACAGCCTCACTCTCCCCATCACCCCTGCTGCGGCCAGATAGCCCATACCCAACCTTAGTCACCCCCAATGGCACCTTCAAAAGAGTACCCTTCCCTGACCTGCCACCCCCACCTCCCTCAACAGGGAGTTTCACTCTACAGCTGCCCCCCATGGTGCACCCTTCCCATCTCCGGTACCCTGCTGACTGTGTTGTGGATGATATGACAGATGTCATGGCAGCCAATGAAGAGACGCTGGGCCCCTATGTTACTGTGGAATCCAGGGTGGCTAATGACCAGGAAGGAGACAGTGAGGCAAGCTCTGTCCAAGGAGGGGGGCAGCTGCGGAAGAAGGCTGGCTTGAAATCTGAGGATGTCTGGAGGAGGCACATGAGCCTTGAGGTCAACCCCCTGCTGCTGCTCTCATCAGATGGTAGGCCTTCAGACTGGGAAGGAAGACTCGGGAAATCCCTCTCCATGCACAATATCAACCAGTCTTTGACTAACCGTGCCCGGGGTCTTTCCTCCATGCTCAACAACAGCAGCAGCAGCAGCAACAGTAGCGAACCTGGCAATGCTCACGGTGACCTTAGCAACTGGGATGAATCAGAACTCTTCATTAGTGAGTGCAAGCTGAAGCCAACAGGAGAACATTTCAACTTCCTGTCCCAAGGGCCTGACAGCAGCCCCTCAGACATTTTACAGACTGTGGAGGAAGCTGCACTTCACCCCAAGGGAAACTCAGACTTTCTCACTCAGCCTCCACACATACAGCTGGCATAACTGCACATACATTGACATGTACACTCTCACATACTGTATTCACACACCACTACTGGGTAAGCCGCTTTTAAAGTATTTTTACAGGAGACTACACAGATCATGTTGCAGATGGTACAATTAAATGCTTTGTATATAGACAATGTTTTTTATTTTGTTGAACATGATTATGTCCATTTTCATACAAGTGTTATTACCTTTTTATGGGCTATATGGTAGATTAGCATATACATCAAAACAAAAGCAAATGTATGAAGATGCCTAAAATATGTATGCAAGTGGCCAGTTTCATGTAAGACAAAAAACACATGCAATACACAAATACAAAAAAGCTTTGTTAAGGGGAAATAGATGTGCTCTTTATCTGAAGATATGGAGATATGGTCACTTTATCAACTTTATAGAGACTAGGTGTTTGTCATATTCAGGATCATTTTGCTGATCAAGACAGGAATGGCGATGTTATCTGGCTTGTGCCAATCTTGACAATTAAATTCAAGAAAAAAAAAATAAAACAGACAAAAACGCACTGACACAACCACAACCACCAGGAAGAGCCAACTTGACAAAAAGACAACACTGACTAGTGACTTATTTTTTCATACAACCCCAAATCAGAAAAAGTTGGGACAGTATGTAAAATCAAAAGTAAAACTGAAAATAGTGATGTGTAAATCATCTGTGTCCTGTATTATATTGAAAACAATACAGCAGCACCTTATTTGATGTGAGACCTCATCAGTTTTATTCTTTGTTCAAAATAAACACTCACTTCAATACTGACACCTCCAACAGTTTAATACAGGACATAGAGGATTTACTAATCACTGTTTTCAGTTTTAATTTTGATTTTACATCCATACCATCCCAACCTTTCTGATTTGGGGTTGTACAAGTGTTTGTATTCAAAGACCTTCTTGAAAGAAGAGGAGAGCTACTCACTCTTCTTTTTCAATGTCTGCCTTTGGCAATGTAGAATGTCATATTTTATTTATGCTTTCATAGATACTGTATCACCGCATAGACTGTGTCCAAAAACAAATGAATGGAAGCCGAAAAACTGGTGAGGGAATCGTTGAATTGTCAAAGCCTTAGCATGTATTCAGGCCACAAGCATCTCATATTAGTTTTTCTGCAGCCACAGGAATATATGCAGAAAACCTAATGGGAAAATAGCCTGTCAGCAATTACTGAAGACAAGTGTGGGACCCACTTGGTTTGGACAGAAGCCCTGTGAGTTAGTTGGAAATGTGAGAATACTGTATTGTAGTAGGTTTATCAAGTGGGCTTTCTCAGCCAAGCATGAGCTGCTGCATGTCAAAGCTGCTGCAATACTTAAAACCAAGAGCAGGCACACACTTGCCCAGCTTAGATGTCCTACTGCATGTTAAAGTGATGTTTCCTCCAAGACTTTAACAAAAAGGTTTGAACAAAGTCTGCCTATATGAACATCAATACTGTATTTTTTAACTTGAACTTATTTGATTAATTAGTAATTAAAGTGTGTACTGCCAATCATATGGATAATTATGATTAAACGTTATGAAAAACACAGTTTTTAAGGTCATGACAAGCCCAATCTTTTTACAGGGTGCTGGCTGCACCGTGTACAGTACATTAGTAATAACTAGAGGCTGCTGGACTGACCTTATTTCTTCCTCCCAGTCTGCAGCAATACTTGGTGTAGTGTAGTTGTTACTGGGTGAAATATGCAATGCACACACTCCATTTACGGCACAGTAAGTTAGTTTGGATTCATCTGCAGAACGAATGATAACAATAAACTATACATGCAGTAATGCATATGATTTTATATGATTTTATCCATGTTTCCATTCTGCTGCTAATAATGTCAAAATAAATCCACATAATAAATTAGAAGAGAAGGAAAGTGAAATAAGAAAGAATGTGCCATACAAATTCTGGATCAGCATGCTCAAGGAAACTTTGGCAGCAGACAAATTAGATGAACTAGAATTTCATCTGAGAGTGAGATTAGAATTTGCATCCTGTAAGACCTATTTAACCTTTTCTGCTGTAAAACATGTATAATTTAGCAGGTTTTTGAATGTGTGCACACTACCTCCTCAAAACATCAGTCAGTCATAACTATCCATTGAAATTTTAGTTAGCCATTTTGATTTGTTTGATTTGTTTGTTACACATCTTAAGTGGTATGCAGTCACATTGGTCTTAAAAATGTATTTTAATGTGTTAATGACACCCTTTATTTGCCATTATTTGTTATTTTTTTATTTGTTTTGAATGGCAAGTGCATTACTTACCTTATATAACAGTCTGTAGATTAATATAAAAAGTATTAACTAGTTTCTAACAAATAAACACTTGTAGAGTTTTGATTATTATACAATCCATGAAAGAGCTGTTCTGGTATGATGAAATATATTGTCAACATGAAAGTATGGTTGTTTTTGGTGAATTTGAGGAGCCTGAAAATGTGACATGGTAGTTTAATGCTTATGGGTTTTCCTGCATGTGAAAAGAGGTCAGCCACAACCACTACTCTGAAGCAAGATCAAATGCATATTGAATAACAAGGAACAATCACACAAAAGGATATAATTTAGTCAGTTGGAGAACTGGATGAATTATACCCCTTATGAAACATGTTCATTTTTGCAATCTGTAAATTGCTTTAAGGGTGTCTTTCTTGCATATGAAATTTCTTTTACTTTTTCTTCACAGGGCTATAAAGGTCTAGTTTGCCTACAGCCTAGAGCTACTGTATAGTTAAAATCAAACAGGTCATGTTAGGTCAGGCATCAAATTCACTTTTGCCATGTAGCTTTAGCCACAGATTTTATATAGCTTTGGTGGCTAATTGTACCATTTCTCTACTGCTTGAAAGGTAATTTATTACACAGCTGGCCTTAAAGCTAGATAATGTTAACATTATTATTTCTTTTAAATTAATTTATTAAAATGCACATTATGTTCTCTGAATGAGAAATGCAAAAACAACTTTATTATTCATTAATAAAGTAAGAATTATTTAAACAGTTTTGGTTTTTTGTCTTTAGTTTAGCAATAAAAATTTTCAAAAGTACTTTTAAAGTTCGGTAATGATGTCTTTAGTGGAATTCGGATTTTTTATATTCAGTGATGTAAAGGGTGTTGTGTGTGATAAGTATTGTTTTTTGGCCATCGTCTTATGCTATTATTAGAATTTAACATTTTAATTAATTGCAGCCCATATTTGTAAATAGAAATTTCATCAAAATTTGGTCAAAATCTATCCAGTCATCAAGTCAGAGGTGTTAGTTTCACGAGAGGACGTGAAGGCGACATAAACTTGATTGACAGCTGGTCACCGTTACGTAGAAGCTAGTTAGCTAGCCGTCAGGTGTGGAACCAATTTGAGCTAAAATGTCTGACTGGGAAGATGAATACAACGAGGACGGTGTTGCTTTCCAGAAACCTGCTACAAATTCAGCCCAGACTTGGTGTGAGTTGTCATGTGGTGACCGTAAAAGAGATAATGTAGTTTTCGGTGTAAGAGATAGGTGTGGACCATCAGGAGAGGGGAGAGCTGATGGGACTAGCGGAAAAGGGTTCGACTCCAGAGGTTGGACAAGTGGAAGGGAGGCCCGTTCCCGCGGAGCCCCAGGAGGACGACCCTTTGGCGATGATAAGTCGGCCTCTTCCCGACCTGTGACCATCACCGTGGAAAATGCTTTAGTTGGGAGGATAATAGGTAATTTTTTTAAAGGAGTGACCCCATTTTAGTTGACTTCGCTGTTAGCTCCTTATGCTATCAGGTCCACAATGGGTGCTAGTTTCAGTGCCATTAGCTGATTTGCTTGTAGAAATGACATGGTTATAGGTATGGTTTATGTAATGATGTTTTAACTGAGAAAACCTGGTTAGACTTACTCCGGCTCTGTGACTCTCATGTATGTAACTAATACATGAGAGTCACAGAACTAGGTGCTAACTGTTAGCTCAGACTCTAAACACATGTTAATCCTGACATAGGTCGCGGGGGAGCCAAAATCCGCGAACTTGAAGAGAGCAGCGGTGCCAGAATCAAGGCAAGTTGTGTCGAATTAGTTTTGCAACATCCATTCATAAACTAATAGTGCTGGGAAACTGTGTGCACGTAGTCGGGGGCTTAACTACACGTTTTTCTGCTGCTTCTCTAAGGTAACTAAAGGTAGTAGTACATGAAGTTAATTGGGGTGAAAGTAGAGGATGCCGAGGATAGAGTTAGGTGGAAACAGATGATTCGCTGTGGCGACCTCTAACGGGAACAGCCGGAAGAAGAGAAGGTTCCACTTATTATTGACAGAAGTCACATTTTCAAGCTTTGGCTGCAATTTTCCTTTACTGCCCCCCCCCCCACAACAGAACGTCAGTAAATGTGACTTCTTATTTATCAGGACCAGTGTAACTGGGGAAAAGTCAGTTCCAAGACTGCAGCCAGAACAGCAGAAGTCCAGAGGGTTCAGGATTGATTCAAAGCAGTGTATGCTGGCAATGGACAATATGCTGAAGATTCCTAGAAATATAGATCAAAATGTAAAGAGCAGTGAGCTATCTTCATAATTTAACTAATCAGGATATAGCAGCAGTTAATGTGATTAAAGTAAATTTAAATCAGCAAAATAATTGTTTTTCATTATATATGTAAAAATGTTCCATTTGTAACTGAACCCAACCTCAACACCTGACTGCTATGCAGCTGCCCTATGTGCTTGGCTAAACATAGTGACTCTTGCTCGAGACATTTTGAATAAACAGCACAGTTATCAGAGCCCGTAAAAGATGTTGGCTTTGTGCTTGTTGTAAAACTCTTTTTTTTTTTTTGGAGGGTAGATTAATAAAGGGGACTATGATGGTGAGGTGGTCATCTTTGGGTCCTCTGCTGCCCAGCAAAAGGCCAAGGAGATGATTGAAGACCTGGTGGCAGATGGCAACTCTCGATTTCACGATGGTATGAACAAAATGTAGATTTCCTGTCAATTGTGCATTTTAAAGCAAATGTAGTTACACAATGGCATTTTCTGTAAATGGGGATATGAACTCTGTTTGTATCCCTGAATACATCCAACTTTACCATTCAGTACTTTATTAAGATAAAAAGTTTTATAATGCAAGCCTAAAGAGACCAGAGCAAAAGTTAAGCAAAATTAGTTATTGTAATATATTGATCAGCAGCACATATATTTATTAAATTTATATTTGAATTAAAATTGATCTCTAATCTCAAAATTCTACTGCATGTGTTTGTTATTAAGTGTGCTTCAGTGACTAAAAGTAAATTTAAAGTTTTGAAAAACTATTAGATGCTTATTAGGTGGCCTGCTTATTTTAACATGGATTTTTTTGGTCCCAATATATGAATAGTAGGCTTTGTTCCTTGCTGATACTTGGTTACACAACTGTACTACAGTTTCTAAATGAGAAGGAATTTGTTTGTCAGGTTCTTGTAAGGGAAGAGACTATGGAGGAAGCCACAGAGGTGATGAAAGAGGAGGGAGCGACTCTGTATGGTCTGCTGCACAATTACAGGCTGCATATGTTGCCCCAGCACGTGTCTCCATAGACTGGAACGACATACGGGAGAACAAGGAAAAGTATGAACAGCTCAAGTGGAAGGGTGAGAGCTTGTATATTGTCACTAATGTACACACACTGCAGTCCACAAATGCTGTCAGTTACCACTGTCTTTTGTAATGCCTGTTTGATTTTCAATGTAATATAATACAAAGCCCAAAGAAAACAGTTTTGTTATGATCACTTTGTTTTCCTTTTGTTTGCTTACCCTTACTTGTTAATAGCTTACAATAACTATCCTTGTGATATGCAACAAGAATTTCACTTTTACTTTTTTCAGACGCCCCACCCTTGAAGAAGAATTTTTACACTGAGGCCCAGAGTGTATCCATGCTCACAGCAGAGGAAGTGAGTGAATGGAGGTAAATTTGACTATGGTCTTTTTTGTTGCATCCTTTTCTTGTCTGCAAGTGTAAAATTCACCCATAAATATTATATACTGGACACTAGTATTATTTCAAACATTACTATGGAATTGCAGAGTAGAGTCAGTCAAATGCCATATCTCACTGTTTTAATAACCCTGGTGTAGCATAACCATGTTATTAAAATCAGGACACTGTGGGCTTAATTGCCAGATGTGCAAAACCTCAAACCTCCTGTTTTTGGTGAGGATGTTTATCGTAGGTACTGTTTTCCATTACAGCCTCAGACCTCTTTTATGTGTCCTCAGTTCAGGTCTGGCTGTAATACTGTCAGCCAGCCTGTCTTAGATTTGTTAGTGTTTGTCAGTTTCCAGGGCCTCACAATAAGGCGAGAGCCAATAACATTGAGGACAACAGGGAACGTAATTGCCATATTGGGTTCACAGTGGTCTAAATCTGAGAGGGATAAACAAGCCATAGTTAGGCCCTGGCCTGCAGATGCCCAGGACCCAATTTATTTGACTCTGTTTGCAGCCTTGGTTAACATTACATTTACCAGTTCATTACATTTACTTTGCATTGAAAATAGTTAGGATTTTTATGTAGAAAGGATATACTTTGTCAAACTTGTAAATAAAGGGGAAAACACATGGTACAGTTGATTTTGATGTGGTGTTTGGAATGCAGCATAATTTGGGCCAGATGTGGTCTCTGAAACGTATATTGTTACATGTTTATATGTCTGGTACAATAGTGTGGATTGGACTTAACCACTAGCCAGCCAACATGTTCTTGTTTGTGTGATATTTTTCCACAGGTTGGAGAATAACAATATCTTTGTGGATGACCTGAAGGATGAAGGGGAGAAGCGGCTCATTCCCAACCCCTGTCGCACTTTTCTGGAGGCCTTTGAGCATTATCCGGAGATCATGGAAAATATTGAGCGAGTTGGCTTCGTCAAACCAACCCCCATCCAGGTATGAACCTGACATCAAAGAACACTGGTACAACTTGTCACTCTAAAGTATGTAAAAAGCTGGTGACACCTTGTGAAGGCGACCTGTTGTTCTGGGATAATTGACAAATACGTACCTTTAATGCCATTTTAAGAGACGGTAAAATCAAAGCTTTGTTCAAGGTTGGCAGGTCTGCTGTAGTGACTTAAACAGATTAAGTCTGTGGTCCTCGGTAATCCCCAGAGATAGATTTTGTGAAATACCCATGTTAGCGACAGTCTTGATGGAAAATACTGAAGATTTTTTCCATATATTAGTCTGTGGTCTCGTCCAAAAGCAGAAATGAAAAGAAACCCCATGTTTGATGGCTCATTATGCTGAGAAATCGGAAAAAAAAAACCCAAATCATTCTTACTTAATGTGCATTTCCTCTTTTAACTGAGAAGCTCTTGAGCATAATATTATAATGAAGAGTGATGGCAATTCATTATAGATAATAGTTATACATCTGCTACCACTTCACAAAGAAATTATGCAAATTTTAATACTTTTTCCTATAGAATGCTGCACAATAAAATTTTCAACAAGTGACAAAACATAAGAAAACCAATAAAACTGAGGTAACATTTTTTGTTCAGATACACAGGACGTGTCACTGAATGCACCTTGTTTTTATTTATTTAGAGATCCACTGTGTAGAAACACTAAGCCAGTGATCATATGGGGAAAGCTGTGGGTGATTCCAATTTATCCTGTACATGCATATGTGTACACATTGGCCACTGAAACCAGAGATATTTAAAGGATTCAAAGGAGTCACATTGGATAAATTTACAGTTAATTCAATGGAAATATTGGTGTTGTAATCTAATTGTGAAAATCCGACAGGGAGTGGGCCGGAGGGAGAAATGAAAGTGTATCATCTCCTGTGATAGTTTCACTTTCATTTTACAGTAAAAGGCTTGGTCAGGTGGCCTGTAATAGCATGCTGTCGTAATTCCAGGTAAAAGCCTCATTGAGATTCAAATCTCTTTCAAAAGTGAGTTGGCCAGAGTGATTACGACAGAGATGTTGCAATAGTTGTTTTCCACCCTCAAACTCTCAACCATTAGAGAGTGAGTAAGAATCAAAACAAACTCAGGTGGGAAGCCCTCCTCCTCGCCCCTCTTGCCCTGTGTCATATGTGGTGACTTCAGCCAGGGACAGACTCGGCAGTCAGGCAGCTCAGCAGTAATGTTAGTATGCAGAATATAGCCCATAGAGCCTGTGCTTTTCAGTGGCATTGCAGAGACACTTCCTAAAGCAGTAACACAAGCAAATTGTACAAAGGAAATTGTTATCCTTAAAATGACAAACTGTCCCTTTTTATGTTTCTGTTTATGAACAGGTTAACAAATAAGGTACAGTTAGTAAATATTGTTGAAAGTTCACATTTTCAATTTGGTTTGAGCCAGGATGAATGAATTTGTGCTAACTTATCCTAAACATGCCCTGACTCCAGCTCTGCCAGTAAATGTATGCTCATCTCACTCCCAAAATGTTAAAACCTATTCTGTTTCTTAAATTAGAATTTATACGCAGTAGATTTCAACATGAAATGTTGTTTTAAAACCAGATTAGTCAAATTGTTCAGGTCTGGTCATGCTGAAAGCTGATGTCTTGCTACACAGTTAAGGAGTGATTCTGCAGTTAAAATGCTAAAAAAAAAAAAGCCCATTTGTGCTTTTGTGTATGTATATCATCTTTGTGTAAATACATTTGTTACTTCACCAGTCCCAGGCATGGCCAGTGTTGCTGAGTGGGGAGGACCTGATAGCCATCGCACAGACAGGAACAGGGAAAACCCTGGCATACCTGCTGCCAGGCTTCATCCACATGGACGGACAGCCTGTGTAAGTACAGGATCTGTTTTTTATTGTTCAGCTAATTTTATCTTTTCCTTTCAGGCATTTTGATGACTATTGTGCTGTCTTTTTGTCCTTCCTACCCTAGACCTAGATCAGAGCGGGGTGGGCCAGGCATGTTGGTGCTGACTCCCACCAGAGAGCTTGCCCTGCAGATTGAAGCTGAGTGCAACAAGTACCGCTATAAGGGCTACAAAAGGTGCAGCAGTCTTGTATTTTCATAAGTCATCAAGGAGGAGTTTAGAACTCATATTTAATCATGAAGTAGAAGCAACATGACTGTGACTGTTCCTTGTGTACCTTCTCTCAGTGTCTGCATCTATGGTGGAGGGGATAGGCGAGGCCAGATCAGCTTTGTGAAGGAGGGGGTGGACATAGTGATCGCCACCCCAGGCCGACTAAATGATCTACAAATGAACGAACTCATCAATCTTTGCGCTATCACCTACTTGGTTAGCTGTTTGTGTTGGTGCATGTCTGTTTTTGTGCGAGAAGGGCTGAATGTTTTTCCATTTTTAGACTGAGTTGTGTCAAAGTGCCTTTCAATGTATGTTCATTATAGCACTGCTTACCCCAGTGGGAATTGCACTTTTAAAATAGCAAGTGCTTCACTGTGGTGAAATTCTGCTCGTCTCAGGTGTGAGCACAAACAAATATAGCAAAACCTTGTGTTTGGTGTAAGTGTTTTATGTTTTCCTTAAATGTTATATGGGAGCACTGAGAGGTTTTTAACATCTGCTCTGATCACTGGGGAAAGGTGCTGGACGAAGCTGACCGGATGCTGGATATGGGCTTTGAACCCCAGATTTTAAAGATTCTCCTGGACATCCGCCCAGACAGGCAGACTGTCATGACCAGGTATAAGTCAAGTTACATGAAGCACAAGTGTTTGTCACCACATGGTTAATGCACACGACATTAGGACACAGGTACTGAAAATATTTACTTTTGTGAATACAATTTGTTGATCACATGTATTTGTTAATTATATATGCATTGGTAATGAATTAGAAGTGGGCTGCTGCTGGGGAAGGAAGAAATTATTAAACAGTCTGACTGGAGACTGGAACTCGGTGTCCCAGGCCTTGACATTTATTAGATAAAGTTAGTTGCTCACTGACTTTTACTCCCTTCCTCTCCCATAGCTAATTTTCTGCACCTGTTTTATTTCTGAGTATAAAGAGCTTCTTGACCTTGCAAGAGCATTCCTTTGCTGTCCTTATTTCCTTGTGTGTGCTTTGAGCCCTTCTGCAAAAGCTTATAATAAAGAGCCAGAAAGAGAAAGTGGGTTTCAAAGTTTTTGTAATTTAATAAGAATTGTCACTTTGCAGATCTGGAGCATTAAAGCCATCCAGTGCTGCAGATGGTGTTACACTGCATATATTAATAAACTCAGGGAATAGGTTGAGAAAAGATTAGTCGAATGAGAAAAGTCAGATATTATGCTTTATTGCAGCTGTATATGTTGGTCCACGTTTTCACAAAGAAAAGAAATGGATCATATAACAAATAATGGAACTGTTTGAAAGCAAATTCAGTCCCAGTATTAATTTATTTTAGTGCACTATTCTTACTGAAATGCTGTGGAGATTTTTTTTTTTAAAACAGTTGCAGGATGTACAGTATAGAATTTGACATAAACTTCCTATGTACATTGTAAACTCTTATGTTTCAGTGCCACCTGGCCCACTGGTGTGAGACGATTGGCCAGATCCTACCTAAAGAATCCTATGATGGTTTACGTGGGCACCCTGGACTTAGCGGTAAGTGGAAGTGGAACATTCAGTTGTTTATTAAGTGTGTCAACTGGATACATATAGTCTACTTTGTCCCATCTGAATATTGAAGAGATGGCCTTTGTCTTCTAATTGTATGAGAGCAAACTGAGAAATTTCTCTGCTACAAAAACAACTCAGATTTTTTTCTCTACTTTTTTAAAAGTGTAATGTCTTTAGAGGTGAGTTTTAAATGTTGTACTCCCTTCTAGAATATACTGTGTGTTTACCTACTTCCTGTGTTTCTCTGGGTCTTAGGCAGTAAACACAGTGCAGCAAACGGTGCTGGTCGTCCATGACGAGGATAAAGAGTCCTATATGTATGACTTCATCAGAAACATGGGTCCTGAGGATAAAGTCCTCATCTTTGTTGGCAGGAAGTTTAAGTGAGTGGGAAGCCAATCACTAACATATGGCTTGTAAACAAGGGAGTAAATTACAGTTATTAGCTAAACCCACAGTTGCTTTTAAATACATATTTACATTGGCAGTACATAATCACTTATACTAACAGTTTCCTGTGTGTGTGCATTTTTCTCTCTATTTGCATTTAATCTCAGGGTGGATGACCTCTCCAGTGACATGTGTCTGCAGGGGCTGGCTGTGCAAAGTCTCCACGGTGACCGTGAGCAGCGTGACCGTGAAGAAGCCCTTGAAGACTTTAAAGAGAGTACATAATGGGAAGGAATATGTGGCTTTAAAAATGAGCTTTTCATGCCTCTAACAGAAACTTTCAGTTAGCTGGTATTCGTATCTTGAAGCAAATTAGCAACCACAATTAAAGGCTGAAAGATCAAGTTGACAGGAGAATAACAGTGTTTCATACTTTTCCAGGTCGAGTTCGTATCCTGGTCGCCACAGACTTGGCGTCTCGAGGGCTGGATGTCTGTGACATAACACACGTCTTTAACTTTGACTTCCCACGTAACATAGAGGAGTATGTTCATCGCGTGGGCCGCACTGGCCGAGCAGGGTAAGGGTCTGTGCGTGTTCGTCTGCTAAAGGATCACTGCACTCTCCTGGGGCGATGTCATTGAAAATCACTGCCAGTGTCTGGCTGCTGTTGGATTAGCTTGTGATGCTGCTGCATTTATCTTTCAGGCGGCCAGGTGCTGCTGTTACCTTGGTAACAAAAGAAGACTGGAGGAAGGCCTCTGAACTGATTCCCATCTTGGAGCGAGCAGGACAGGTTAGCATGCATATGGTGTGTGTGTGTGTGTGAGGGTTAATTCACAGTATAAGTCGGAATATCAGACATATACAGTCGTGACACCAAAAATATATTTTTGCTTATTTAAATTGAATATTGTTCCCTATTGTTCATGACACTTAGTCACTAAATGAGGAAAAAGAGCTTAGTTTTCAGGCTGTATTTGCAACCTGAAAAAACTGAGATAAATAGTGTAAACAAGTAAAAATGGATTGATTTGAATTAGTCAGTTTTAGGGGTATGGCGAGATCTCACGATATTAAAACATGACTAGTTCTCGTCGGGGCAAAAGCTGTTGGCGATATTGGTACATAACAGAACCAGTGCAGCAGCCAACATGACGGAGTGTGACGGGACGTTCACGTTAGTCCGGTAGAAACTCGGCTCCCTGCTGTGTTTTAACACACGGGGCTGCAGGGGGAGTGTTGTGGGTGTGACGTAGCCACATTGAGACAAGTCGCCATGAATGGCTTCATATATGTTTCCAGCCTGAGAGTTGTGAGGCGTGTTCTTTAATATTGAAAAGAAAAGACTAATAAAAAGATATTTCACAATGTGAAATTTATTAGGCATTAACGTATCAAAATAAGCAAAGCATGTGCACATGGATCTCCACAGTTTAGGATAAACACAAAAGACTGACTCCAACTTGGCGGTATACAATATTTGTATGAAAAGATGTTACTATCTGATTGGTCAAAAACTGTTGGGGTTTAAACTTAACTCTCCCAATATTGGTCCTTCAGTCCATCCGTCCTCCAATCATCCTCTCTGCTCCAATGGTCGTGGACAGCGCCCTAAAACGGGAGGAATACCTATACCGTCTTAATTCTACATAGACACTTACGTCTTTCTTTGTTTCCAACTAACTGCTACATTTTAGGCATTGCTTTCCAGTTACAATAAAACTGCTCTGCCAGTGTGTGTGTAATGGTTCTACCTTTGAAGTTTTCTCCTCTTCCTGGCTTCAGACCTAATCTCTGTTTCACTGACCTAGGATGCAATAAACTATAACTCCCCCGGCCCATTAGCCAGGTGGTGACAATAAATTAATTGTGGACCCTCTTTGCCAAGGCTGTAAACCTAATGAGATTCAGTGTTTTAGTGAACCAGTCTCCCTTGATGTTAACCAGTGCTCCAGTTGGCTAACACAGTAAATACTGACCAGTAATTCAGTGAACACATAACATAAACACAACTGTGAGATTAAAATATATATAAACTTATGTATGCTATATAATAAAAACCCTAACTAATTATTCATTTCTATCTAAAAATGAAAATCACCCTAACAGGAATCAACATCCATCCATCTCTTATCTATACCGCTTATCCTGAAGAGGGTGTCAGGGGGCTGGAGCCACTCCCAGCACGTGTTCAGGAAAGCCACGCACCTGTCTATATAAGACCCTACAGCTCACAGTGCATGTCAGAGCAAATGACAATCATGAGGTCACAGGAACTGCCTGAAGAGCTCAGAGACAGAATTGTGGCAAGGCACAGATCTGGCCAAGGTTACAAAAACATTTCTGCTGCACTTAAGGTTCCTAAGAGCACAGTGACCTCCATAATCCTTAAATGGAAGACGTTTGGGACGACCAGAACCCTTCCTAGAGCTGGCCGTCTGGCCAAACTGAGCTATCGGGGGAGAAGAGCCTTGGTGAGAGAGGTACAGAAGAACCCAAAGATGACTGTGGCTGAGCTCCAGAGATGCAGTCGGGAGATGGGAGAAAGTTGTAGAAAGTCAACCATCACTGCAGCCCTCCACCAGTCGGGGCTTTATGGCAGAGTGGCCTGACGGAAGCCTCTCCTCAGTGCAAGACACATGAAAGCCTGCATGGAGTTTGCTAAAAAACACCTGACGGACTCCAAGGTGGTGAGAAATAAGATTCTCTGGTCTGATGAGATCAAGATAGAACTTTTTGGCCTTAATTCTAAGTGGTATGTGTGGAGAAAACCAGGCACTGCTCATCACCTGTCCAATACAGTCTCAACAGTGAAGCATGGTGGTGGCAGCATCATGCTATGGGGGTGTTTTTCAGCTGCAGGGACAGGACGACTGGTTGCAATGGAGGGAAGGGTGAATGCGGCCAAGTACAGGGATATCCTGGACGAACACCTTCTCCAGAGTGCTCAGGACCTCAGACTGGGCCGAAGGTTCACCTTCCAACAAGACAATGACCCTAAGCACACAGCTAAAATAACGAAGGAGTGGCTTTACAACAACTCTGTGACTGTTCTTGAATGGCCCAGCCAGAGCCCTGACTTAAACCCCATTGAGCATCTCTGGAGAGACCTGAAAATGGCTGTCCACCAACGTTTACCATCCCACCTGACAGAACTGGAGAGGATCTGCAAGGAGGAATGGCAGAGGATCCCCAAATGCAGGTGTGAAAAACTTGTTGCATCATTCCCAAAAAGACTCATGGCTGTATTAGCTCAAAAGGTGCTTCTACTAAATACTGAGCAAAGGGTCTGAATACTTATGACCATGTGATATTTCAGTTTTTCTTTTTTAATAAATCTGCAAAAATGTCAAACATTCTGTGTTTTTCTGTCAATATGGGGTGCTGTGTGTACATTAATGAGGAAAAAAATGAACTTAAATGATTTTAGCATATGGCTGCAATATAACAAAGAGTGACAAATTTAAGGGGGTCTGAATACTTTCCGTACCCACTGTATCATTTAAGAGTCACAGGAATTTAGCTTAGGCAATACTGAGCTGCCCTCTAACCTCAGAGTGAGTTTTTTATTTCCCATATCATCTGCTTTATGAGCAGCCAACAGCATAAACATCCCCCTGTGTGGGCTTTAAATATACAGTGTGATGTAAATAAACTAGAAAACAAACAACTGGGTGGTAGATGCATGAAGAGAAAGAGTTCTACACATTAGAAGAGGAAGCTAAGTGATTATGTAAAAGAACTAAATAAATAACACATGATAAGGAGAGTGAATAAACAAAATCAAAGGCATTTATATAAAAACTCAAAGTGAACCTAAAGAAAACCAACCATGCACTAAATACATTTAAGACCTGATTCAGTGAACACATAGGGTGATATGAAACTACATTAATCTCACAGTTGTGCTTATGTTTAAGTATATAGACTTATATATGCTATATAATAAAAACCCTAACTAATTTTATTCATTTCTATCTAAAAATAAAAATCACCTTAACAGAGTTTCCCATGTGTTTTGGTTAGTCATGTTGCTAAATAGCCTGCTCTGCCTTATCACCAATTCTACTGCCAGTGTGTCTGCAGTGATAGATAAAAAACACCATTTAACATTCAGAACTAATGAAAATGCATGCCGTGTCATTATAGTGCATTAACTGTGACCCAAATTTCACAGTGGATCGCAGTGAATGCTCATGCTAACAAACTAAACAAGTCTTCCTGTGGGCACCCATGTCCCCGATTGTCCCCCATACTTGATTGGTCAACGTGGTGCCTTTGCCGGATGATGTCAATGTTCCAGTGTGGGTGAAAATAGCATAGAACGCCACACACAGCGTCAGTTAGAAGCTCATACACAGTTATAAGAGACAATATACCTGGACGTGTATATTGTTGTCATATGATATTTCATACTCAAAGTAGAACTGAAGTGGCATTCATTTACAAGATGATTAAAGCATTTAAAAATGCACTTGCATTGTTTTGCATTTTGCAACGTTCAGTCAAATAAGATACTTTTTCCAGCTATATATTTCATTATTGAAGATCTCTTAAAAATAGTGTAAAAATGGTTTTGTTCTCCTGAACCCAGTATCATGTATTATCTCATCTTGTGACCTAAGTGTTTTGTCATAACCTTAGTCAGGTTTAAAGACTGATTCAAAATTTCACAAACTATAGTAAAATTCATGTAACCCTCATGTTGCAGGAAGTCCCTGTGGAGCTGGCGCTCATGGCAGAAAGGTACGAGAACCACAAGAGGGAGAGGGAGATGTGCAATCCAAAAGGAGGATCAAGACGAGGAGGAGGAGGAGGGAGGAGAGATGGTAGTGGGAGAGGAGGCAGGGATCGAGGCCAAAACTGGGGATTCTAATGCCTGACTGTCCATGTAGGTCCCCAGATATTATCACAAGGTTTCCTACAGATGGATGTTATGAACGGACAGATAGAAAATGTAACGTCTGTGGTTTTGAACAGACTACTTTTTTTGTGTAATAAGACAGTAATGACTATTGTCTGGTATTTTGAACAGGGCTAATGGTAATAAGCTTTGTTTACACTTTTTTTCATTAACAAGAGCAGAATTGGAAATCACTTGTCTTATAGTTTCTTTTGAATGTATATTTCATTTTATTTATTTTTCTCTGATTGTTAAAACTTCTTTGTGTTTTTTGCTGGATTACTTCATTTACATTTAGAGGCAGTTGCACCTCAAACTGTTCTTTGGATCTGACAGTGTTTTAAATGCACAATGTTGACAGTTTTGTTTTCTGTCCATCACTCACTAACTACAGTAGTGTTTTGTATCACTTTTGACTGTTGTATGTCATTTCTTGGTTTGGGCAGAAAGAAATGTCTAATAAATTCTCTCTTTTAAAGAGGCATGACTGTGTATTGGCTTGGTAATGAGTATTAGAGATACAGTAATGATTAAATCTGCCTTGGACCATTCTACACCCGCCACAGCCATGACAAACAGTTGCCTGGAATATTCTAAAGGTAAATATCATTTTATCTTTACCATTAAACCCTGGAAAATGTGCTCTCTAATGCTCTTTAAATTATCTTCCACAGGACGTGATCCCCTGGTCCAAGAGCTTGCCCAGCAGTACAGTATGTGGACATGGACTTTGCTCTGCTGATCATGTAAGGTTCCCTAGAAGAGATGTAAAAATTTTGAGCAGGAAATCAAAACAAGAACACCGCTTCAGATTCCAGTTAGCATTGTACAGAGTTGTTATATTTTGTCTTTTTGTGAAATTGATATTTTGTACTGTGACAGACCGTGTCAGCTTTTGTATGTTTGACTGAGGTTTTCATTATGCTTTTGAAACGGTCTACTGACTTGGCAACACATTTATCTTTCATCACATTACCGTGACAGTGTTTATTCTGGCTTGTTGCTCAGCACGCCTGCTACCCGAGATCTAATATGCTTTTGAAAGTTTAAAAGCTTACCATTCTCTATCCTGAATGCTTTTAGATGACATTTTAAAACGTATGAGTGCAGATTGCTTAAAGCTGTAGTGTGGTAGTGCCATTTTGACAACTTGTTAGTATTACATGGGAACAGTAACCAGGCTTTTTGTTTAAATATGAAACCAGAAATAGGAGCATTTAAAGAATATGGAATAAATTGTTCCTTTTGTGTATTGGGTCAGAGCAGGCAAAACAGCGTTCTTGCTGTTGCTCCGTGACTTTAAATTTTAGGTGGCACATTGCTTACACATCCTTAATATAGAGACATTTTTAAATGAAAGTGAGCACATTAAATAGTGAATGATAAAGTAAGAGACGATGCAGAGTGCAAACCGTGTATAGAGAAAAAAACTTTTAATTCATTTTTCAAGAAATTGACGTATGTCTAATGATGGTGTTACAAAGTAACTAAAAATATGAGCAATAAAAGGGGAGATTTATTAGGAATAGGTTTACACAAGAAGGCCTTTGGTAAACCCAATGATATCAGAATCATCTTTGATGGCCAAACATGTTTTGAACATAAAAGGAATTTGACTCCGGGGCCAAGGTGCTCCCTGCGTTTGTAAGGTAACAGGAAATAGAAAATAACAATAAAAAAAACAACAGTGTGCATTCATATAGGAAATGTATGCAATCAAAAATAGAAAAATAAGAGGAAAAGAGGGACGGTGATTATCTAGATATAAATGCCATTTTGATGATTGTTTCCTGACAGGCTACTTAACCTTATTTATATAACTTTACAATAAAACCAATAGAAGATAGATTACTGGGAGTTTAATTGTCAAATTTTCATATAAAGGATGTTTTAAATGCTGGCTAGATACCACAAGTAAAGCACTTAATGGAAAATAGGAAAGCCCTTGTCACATTGCTCCATAATACAATTAGCCAAACTATAGCGCTTCCTCTGGTCAAAGCCAGAGAGCAGGTTCTGGGTTGGGATAAAGAAGTTGGGGAGTTCACCCTTTTTCAGATAGCCTACAAAGTCTTCCAAGAGCAGCTGAAAACACCGGCTTAAATTTGAGGCCTTCCACTCGCTGTCTTTAATTCTTGAGCAGCAGGCATGTAAGAGTGTGGTCTTGGCGTGGTAGGAGCAGAACTTGTCAAATGAAGGTTCTCTTTCCTTCAGCAGACTGAGGAGGTGTTTTAGGAGCTTCAAACAATCCTTCCTGTATGGAAAAAGAGAGGAAACCTGGATTCTCAGATTAATAACTTTACCTCAAGGATGATTATGATGAGCATTACTTCCAAAAACAAATAATTTCTATTTTTGATGAAAATGAAATGACTTCATTGTATCTGTAGATCCTGAAGAGCACTGGGTTGTGTTCTCAGGTCTTAGAAGGCGCTGAAGATTGCAGTAAAACCTACATAATTATAAATCTAGGCCATGTTGTCCCTGCTGGTTTCCCATCATAGTTTATTATTTTGGCTGGAATGACTGAAGTTATTAGACTGAATTTTAAATAAGCTTAAGAAGTTTAAATCTGCAGAAACCCTCAACTTCAGATAAATACATCTGTTATACTTTCACATTAGGAATCTAACCTGCAGCAGCGATCACCGTCTCGTTCACAGCAGGTCTTCTCTGATCCGTGATTCTTCAGAATGGCCTTCTCAATATGAGAGAATGAAACCCGCCAAGCATCTGCATGTTATAAAAGACAAAGCACTCAGTGGATAGGAAGTTGAGGCTTCTGCTTTTTTTTTTTCTGCTCATTGTTCATCCATGAAATGGCTAACATTTAAGCCTCAAAACAGGAAATGCATTTAGCACTTTTGCTGTATCATGTCAATGAAAGGACAATATAATTTCAAATGCTAGGACTCTAGATATGAGCTAAACCGAAACTGATCATTTCAAGATATGGTATAATATTGGGCAAGTGTATGAACCTGTGGGATCTCTGATCTGTGACAGCAGCATGGTGTGTTTGCATATACAGTACACACCCAAACCGCCACCTGTAGCCTCTCAGAACTCTTTTTTTCTTATAACATTGTATATCTTTAATTGTTAAACATGAGGCCTATCTTATTGAGTTGTTTCAGTCTTGATGTAAAAAGCCAGTGGATCATTCCTGTTAATCACAGTCTCATTTTAGGTCATTCATTGAGAGAAGTTAGACTTACCTTTGGCAAGGACTCCGTCATTTTCCACTGTACCCCTCCCTTCATATTTGGGGACAAGATAATATGGCTTTCGCTTGTAGTCTTGCCTTACTTTAGTTCCTAGCCAGCTTTCTATTTTAAGACCATTGTCAGTGAAAGGAGGCCAGCTTGATTTAACCACAAGTGAGAGAACAAAATCAAGTGAAATGGTTACTGATTGTACTTCTGTGGTCAGGGTCACTGCAGGACAGCCTCTTTTCTTTTTTGTCAACTGCCATTCTGAAAGAACAGACAGGAAACACAAGGATTACTTTTTCATTAAATGCTATGAATATACACAGCTGAGGGTAGCATCACCGACAAAAGGTGTAGTATTACTTAGTATGATCAAAGGGAACAACATTTTGTCTCTGCCCACTACAGTAACTGGCTCTCAGTTTACATCGGACCAACTCAGCCCATTGCCCAACAATTTAGAAAGTGCAGAGGTTGTTACTCACCTGGAAATGCCTTGACACATTTCTTCACTTCTTCTCTGAACTCGTCGAGCATTTTACAGGCTGATAAAGTGCTGGTGTTCTCAAATTTTTTCAGTGGACTCCTGCCACGTTTTAATTCCACACTGTAAAAGGCTCCATTATCTCCAAATGGTTCAATGTTGACTCGGTCGACCGGCATGGCCAACATCACATCAAATTCATCAGGATTAGAAATCTGTATAAACGATACACTGAAAACTAATCATGTCCTCAACACATGTTGGAACTAAGTATTTGGTTCAGGGAACTCAGACTGAAGTGACTTACCTTGACATTTTCATAGTAACTTCCAGTACACAGTGGTGCTTCTACTTCTGTAAAGCAAACTGTGTTCTCTTTTAAATGCTTGATGATATTTTTTTTTATTTCATTGATGACTTCTGATGCATTTGATTTATCGTTCTTCTTAATCTTCAGTTTTTCCAAAGTTGAGTAGAGGATGGTGCCCACTTCAGCTTGTGGGACAGAAGCCTTTGTGTGCTGTTTAGGTGTCTGTGGCTGCTTTTTTGTTGTCTCTTTTGTGAGCCGGTCTGGTGATTTGGCTTTGCTACCACATGTTTTTGCTTTACCTGTCTTTGTAGAAGCCTTTGTGGTGTCCTTAGTTGTCTCTGTGTGCAATTTGGTCATCTTTGCAATTTGTTCTGGTGATTCTTCCTTCCCGCCACACTTTTTTGCTTTTGTGGTCTTCAGAGAATCCTTTGTCACGTCCTGTGGTCTCCTTGGTGTCTTTGTGCTCTGTGCAGATGGCTTGTCCTCAGTGTGGCTTGGCTTTTTCAGTTCTCTTTCCTTTGGTTTTGGTTCCTTTTTGGTAGCATGTGGCTTCTCTTGTGTGAAGTCTTTTCCTGGACATCTTGGCACAGAAACTTGTTTAACTTCTTCAGGTCTAGTTTTGTTCTTGGCGCACTTAGTCTCAGGAGTCTTTGCCTTGTGTGGTTTTCCTCTACCAGTCATGATGGTGCAATGACAGCTGTGAGCACTGTTCAACAGGAATGCATTCATAGCATTTCCGGTTAAGTGTATGAGAACACACCCCTACTTGGCAGACTGGCCTTGAGCTGTTGGCTACATCTTGTGGAGAAAAGTGTGTACTGTAAGGAACTACTTTATGAAATTCATTTTATAGGATTGACAAGTTTAAGGCATTTGCTGCCATATTGCTTCAGTCACAGCAAAATGACAAAATCATTTTGGTTGGAACATGTTTAATGTTGCAAAAAGGCTCATGCCATGTTATAAGGTGCAGTAGCTTATGCCAATTTAAACTTCCTCAGTTCAAGTGCAAACTCAGCAAAATGCCAATCAAAGTGCTTTAAGAATCCATTTGTGGTCTAATCAGTCTCTCAAAAGAGGGAAGTTTGGACCATTTGTTTTAAGTGCTTTTTAAAGCTTAAACACAACAAATCACTAACTTCTACAGTCTACTACTCAGAAGAACATAGTTTGAACTTCTTTCCATAGGCTCCTACAGAGCACCATGTAGTTGCAAACAAACACTAAAAGCAAGACAACGTATACCACGTAAAGAGACCTGTACCTGCACTCCAGAGATCTAGAGAGGTAATAAATTACAGTACCTCTAATTCTTCAATGTCTCAATATCACAGAAAGGTATTGCCATGAACTAAAGCAACAGTGCACATTTAAAACCATTTGATATTACATTGTACGTAATGGTAATCTAACCACGGAAATGGAGTCAGGAGTGCCACCTCATGTGTCTACATGTTTTTCTTTCCTTCGAATGCTTTTGCGATGCATTGTGATGATTAACCAGTCTTTGATTATTAAGTTGAAGAAGCCAATTGTTGGATGGAGTTGGATGACTGATGTCCTGCCTTGGGAGACCTTGGGGTTGGCAGAGTAGCACAACATTCATTTGTTCCTCTGGGCCTTCTGGGCAGACTTGGTAATCTTACCAGTGGTGGAGACCTTCTTCTCCACACCCTTAATCACACCGACAGCCACAGTCTGACGCATGTCACGCACCGCAAAACGACCTGCAAGATGAGGAGAAAATATGTCCATTGTAGATAAAATAGACTAATACTTGCATAGCATTTTCTGTGTGCTGAAGCATACTCAGTGTTTTAACACTGTTCACCAATTTGCTCACACAAGCATTCATAAACTGGTGATAACACTGAAGCAACTTGCTTCACTTCATGTGGACTAGAGAAGCCGGGGATCAAACCGCTGACCCTACAGATAGGGAACAACCTGCACTACCTCCTGAACAACAGCTGCCACTTTAACAGCCATGTCAGATGGCATGACTTACGGTGGAGTCACAAACTTTTTGATGAAGGCTACATGCAAGTGTGTGAAAATTTAACATCCTCTCTGCACTTGAACTTACCCAGAGGAGGGTACTCCGAGAAGCTCTCAACGCACATCGGCTTGCCAGGAATCATGTCTACAATGGCAGCATCTCCAGACTTGAGGGATTTCGGGTTGTCTTCCAGCTTCTTGCCAGAGCGACGATCAATCTTTTCCTTGAGTTCAGCAAATTTGCAGGCGATGTGAGCAGTGTGACAGTCCAGCACAGGAGCATAACCAGCACTGATCTGGCCTGGGTGATTAAGGATGATCACCTACAAAGCAAAAAGAGAACATGTATGGCCTATTAATACGAAACTATTTCCGTCCTGTCAACAAAGTTCAATGCAAAGACAAATCTTTGCATATTCAGCAGTTACTGCTGTGATTGTCTGATTGTGACACCTTCCCTTTGTGGCAGTCTAAGGCTGGATTTATGGTTCTGTGTTGAATCTACTCAGAGCCTATGCCATAAGCAATGCAAGTGGCCTCACTGTTGTGAGCGTTTATACTTGTGCACTCTGTAATTACACCGTCAAAACACTAGTTGGCAGTGGGGTTTCTATGCCACTTTGTTGCATTTCTTCGCCACTTACTATCAGTGTTGACTGAAACTGAGCAGGTCACGTTGGAGTTAACACTAATAGATGTTGAACAGCAGTTAATTTACTGATATTACTGCAGATAAGACAGAAGAAGTTGGAGGAGATGGTCTGTATGATCATTGAACCGAATGAGGCAGAATTGGGGGGTGGTCTGTGCTTGTCTGGCCACTGAGAGACGACATGAGAAAGGAAATGTGATGTAACCAATCAGTCGTTGCAGTCTGCGTCACCACGGTGTATGGTTACAAGACATCTACACCGTTGCGTGGCAGAAACTTTGACAAACCTGTAATATACAGTAGCGCGATGACCCAGTTGTAGATGTAAGATTTAAAGATAGCTTTTCTTGGTATAAATGTATTTTGATGCTTTATAACAGTAACTATTCCTCAAGGCTAAAAAATTGTTCTGGCATAGAGTAAGACTTAGCTGAATGTGGTTCATCATGCTCATGTTTCATTTCTGTAAGTAGATCCCTTGCAATATCTACCTGAGCTGTGAAGTTGGCAGCTTCCTGTGGTGGATCATTCTTGCTGTCGCCCGCCACATTGCCACGACGAATGTCTTTGACGGACACGTTCTTGACATTAAAACCCACGTTGTCGCCAGGGAGAGCCTCAGTCAGTGCCTCATGGTGCATCTCCACAGACTTCACCTCAGTAGTTACATTGACAGGGGCGAAGGTCACCACCATGCCAGGCTTTAGTATGCCCGTCTCCACACGGCCTACAGGCACTGTTCCAATACCTGGAAAAAAGTCAGTGTAGAGAACTTATAGCGATAGGCATAAAATTAACAAAGTGGTGCAGTCCCATACAAAAAGCCCTCTGCTAAACACTCTGACATATAATAAACACTCTGAGGTGTTTTATATGCCTCGTTTTGAGAGTTTATGTCCTACTTCCACAGTGCCTAGATTTTGTCTGTCTTAATCAGTGCATTACATGCCTCCTATCTTGTAGACATCCTGCAGAGGCAGTCGCAGAGGTTTGTCTGTAGGACGGGTGGGGGGCTGGATAGCGTCCAGCGCCTCTAGTAGCGTGGTCCCTGATGCATTGCCTTCTTTCCTATTGATCTTCCACCCCTTAAACCATGTCATCTGAAGAGAAGATAATGTACCATTATTGTCAGTTAAGAGGATTTATTTAAACTTGTGATCATAACTCAGCAGAACAACTGATTAATAGTAATATTTTTAGGTTTAATATATTGTTATGGAACCAGTGTTAACCAAAAAGCTCCACTGGCTCAGTTTTTTAGAATTATAAATAGGTCTTATAAATAAGTTGAATTTATAAGAAATAAAATGGACTTATGCTGAATTTAGTATTCTCTCAGGTTTCCCTGCTACAGTCATACGTGTTCTGGTGTGACCAATAGCACAGGGTGGCTAACTTAAGATAGACATCGATTAGTCGATTTTTCTGATTTAATGGCTCTTCCATATCCATGGTATTTACCATTATCCTGTAATTGCCACTGTGGTTAAGCAGAAGTTGCATGGAGCCACTTTAAATCACTAGCACAGGGGCATTTGTGGTTACTGAAAGGAAAAGGGGAAACTCAAAACTCTTCAGCTGATCTGATTACTTGAGTTAGATCTACAGCCAGTCACTGGCTAGGCTTTAGACTACAGCTCCCTGACACCAGCCATACAAATAAGTAGTCAAACTCAAGGATGTTCTTACAGCATGCACATTTCAATTCTGCTTTGAACTTACATTGGGGCTGGGCTCAAGCATGTTGTCTCCATTCCAGCCTGAAATGGGTACAAAGGCAACAGTGTCTGGATTGTAGCCGATCTTCTTAATGTAGGTGCTCACTTCCTTCACAATTTCCTCATAACGTTTCTGGCTGTAGTTTGGCTCAGTGGAGTCCATCTTGTTGACGCCCACAATAAGCTGCTTTACTCCCAGAGTGTAAGCCAGGAGGGCATGCTCACGGGTCTGTCCATTCTTGGAAATACCTGCCTCGAACTCTCCCACACCAGCTGCCACAATCAGCACGGCACAGTCAGCCTGGAGATGTAGTAGATCAAACAATAGTGTCGTTGGTGCGCAGAAGCTTGGATAACTGCATTCATACTTTTAGGCTTTTAAGGTTACTGTAGTAGAATAAGTCAGTATGAGCAACGTCCTACATAGTTAAGTTATAAAGGTGACATATTTAGCAATAAGGCCAACTTCAACTACAGTGTGAACAACTTGCACTGCACCACAGGAACATGGTGAATGAAGTTGCTGCTACTTGTTGGATGCTGTTATTACTTTTGTGGCTACTTATTATGACTTGCTTAGGAATAAACCCCTGTTCTGCTACACGCGGGACAAGTCACTATAGATAAGCAAGCTGAAATGAAAAGGTAAAGAAAGCAGCTAACGAGGACCCCACACAGCACGTAGTGTGCACACACAGTGTCTGAGCACTCGAGTTACAGACCTGTGAGGTCCCAGTGATCATGTTCTTGATGAAGTCCCTGTGACCTGGGGCGTCGATGATGGTCACGTAGTACTTGCTGGTTTCAAACTTCCACAGGGAGATGTCGATGGTAATACCACGCTCCCTCTCTGCCTTCAGCTTGTCCAGCACCCAGGCGTACTTGAATGACCCCTTCCCCATCTGAGAAACAAGTAACAGATTTCCGTAACAAAATAGTTTAAACATGTTTAAAAGCTGATCACAACATAATCTTAAGACAATTTGTGGTATTCTGCATTGAAACATTAGTGACTTTAAGTCATAGTGATGAGGCTGCACAGTCTTGTATCATTCGTTCCATCTTGTTCATAGTGAGTATGGCTTTTATCCTATGGTCAGAAGAGTGCAGGTCCTGATCTTGAGGAAAGACTGAAGGCATCTTCTGTATGTCCTTACCTCAGCAGCTTCCTTTTCAAACTTCTCGATGGTTCTCTTGTCAATGCCCCCACACTTGTAGATGAGGTGGCCCGTGGTGGTGGACTTGCCAGAATCCACATGGCCGATCACAACAATGTTAATGTGGAGTTTCTCCTTTCCCATTGTGGCTGAAGTCACAAGACTGTCTGCTGAAGCCAGGGTGTTGTTAGTGTATAGATGGTTCACAAACAGGAAACAGAAACCTTTCATGCATTAATTACTGTGATTAACAGATATTGGACGGTGTTTGTGTAAGCAGCTACATACACTCGTAGGTGGATGAAATGACTGATGTCAGAAATGATACAGTTGGCAGCTGAAGCATTTATTAACTGAATGGGCATTTGCAAGATTACACGTCTTAAGGGAGCAAATGTATATAAAATACTGCACAAGGAATGGGAAATCCATTTTGTTTCCATTCAGCCACCTCTAAACAAGGCGCCTGAGTCCAGGGTGTGTTTACCTGATGTTACTGACAATGAGTGCTTTTGAATGGCAAGAAATGTTTGTGCTGTATCTCAGAAGGTTAGGGATGGTGTCAAGGCCACTGAACTG